CCAGGAGAGGAGGACCAGAAACCAGCTGAGGAGCTGAGTGAACATCTGTCCAACACTGAATCAGCAGGAGAGGAAATCCTGTCATCCTGTGAGTTCAACATCCTTTAATGTCTCTTTCCTAACAACTTGTATTGTTCAGCTTCCTGTTCGTATTCACTTAAAACACCACTTTTCTGAAACCTGCTTTAATTATCTTATCTACTCCTGCAGGTACATTATTTTCATTCTCAAATTATCCCCCTAATATTTCCCCAGTTAAATGGTTGCTGAAGTATAACAACTTCACATTTATGGGATTTTTCTAAAACCTAAAGATTTACAATTGTGTCTGACAAAGCAGCAGATCCATCTGAGAAGCTTGAATAAAGTCCTTTTCATTATCGTCTATCTGTTAAATAATAATAATAATAATAATTCATTTTATTTGTATAGCGCTTTTCAAGAACTCAAAGACGCTTCACAGGATAAAAGCAAAGCAATAAAAGCATTAAACAACAAGCAACAAATACAAAGGTAGACAATATAGAAATACAGCAAGCAGGAGAAAAAAAAAAAACAAGAAAAAAAAAAACAGTAAATATCGAAATAGAGCCGAGGCCTAGGTGGGAAAAGCGGAGCGGAACAGATGAGTTTTTAATTTACATTTGAATATTACTGGGTCTGAGGTGTCTCAAATATGTTGTGGGAGACAGCTCCAGAGAGTGGGGGTGGCAACTGAAAAGGCCCTATCCCCTCAGGTTCGGTGCTTGGTCCTGGGAACGATCAAGAGGTTTGAATTTTTGGAGCGGAGGGTACGTGAAGGGGTGTAGGGGTGGAGCATGTCTTTGAGGTAAGAGGGGGCCTGATTATGGAGCGCTTTCTGGGTGAGTAGAAGGATTTTAAAGTTGATACGGAATGGGATGGGAAGCCATTGAAGGTTTTGACACAGTATTCTGTTAATTCTCGCTTTATTTTAGTTTGTAGATGTTCTTCATACAGATATAGTCAGCGCACTAAGTGAGAAAGCCCAAGAACCTNTTTAGTTTGTAGATGTTCTTCATACAGATATAGTCAGCGCACTAAGTGAGAAAGCCCAAGAACCTGCACAATAATTGTCATACAAACAAGGTTAGACAGTACATCAAGCGATATATATCAGACGTAATGTTGCACTAATAACAAAATCTAACTCTAAACTGAAATATTAAGCTCATCAAACTGCCCAAACAATTAAAAGCCTAATTTATTTATGGTTTCCTAACCAATGACGATCCTGTCCCTGATCATCCAACTACTTCCTGAAAACAAACAAATGAAAACGTCCCGACAGCTGTGAGTTCAGGACTCAACCTGAGAACAGCTGCTGTGTAACAAATGATTTAACTGCAGCTGATGAACTGTGTGTCAGAACAGAACACAGTGTGACTTCCTGTTGGATCCAGGACGGGATTATTTGTATTTATTAGTAATGAAGTTACTGCTGTTCTCTGCTGCGCTGTGTCTCGTTTCGGAGACTCTCACATGGATCCTGCTGCTGTTTGGTGCTGCAGGTGTTTAATAAACTCAAAATAAACTCCTGCGAACAGCTGGAGGCAACAAAGTCAACTTCAGCAGCTCCTGTTAGCGTTTTGTCATTTTTTAAGAGTCTCATTAATCAGTGAAGGTTTATTTCTTATGGACATTTTAGCTTGTAATAGATGTTAAAGGGCGAACTGAATGAGAAAAGTGTTTTGTGATTTTGGCAGCGAACTGCCTTTTGTGCTCACTGGGATGTTTTGAAACTAATATTGGTGCTAAAATGTAGAAAAAGTCTTCCCTAGTTTGTGTTGTACAACTACTGTAAATGTATGTGATTTTTTGTGTTTTTTCACGCTTGCCATTGCGACTTCTACAGAAAAGTGATCAGGTTGATCATTCAATATGTGTTAATACT